ATAATAATGATAATAATAATGATAATAGTAATAATAATAATAATAATAATATTAATAATAATAATAATAATAATGATAATAATAATAATAATAATAATAAAAATAAGGATGATGATAATAATAATAATAATAATAATAACAATAATAATAATAATAATAATAATAATAATAATAATAATAATAATAATAATAATAATAATGATAATGATAATAGTGATAAAGATAATAATAATAATATTAATGTTGAAATATTAATGATAATAAAAATGTTAAGATAGTAATAATAAATAAAATGTTAAAATATCAATAATACTAATACTGATATTAATACTAATACTAATAGTAATACTAATAATGCTAATAATAATTATAAATTTTTTGAAATAACAACAACAACAATGATAATAATAATAATGATAATTGTTATAATAATAATAAAAATGATATAAAGAAGAGAACAACAATAACAAATGATAATAATCATAATGATAATAATAATAATAAAGATAATAACAATAATGATAATAATAAAAATTATAATGATAATAGTAATAACAATAATAATAATAATAATAATAATAATAATAATAATAATAATAATAATAATAATAATAATAATAATAATAATAATATTAATAATAATAATAATGATAATAGCAATAATAACAATAATAATGATAATAGTAATAATTATAATAATAATGATAATAATGATAACAACTACAACAATAATAATAATAATAATAATAATAATAATAATAATAATAATAATAATAATAATAATAATAATAATAATAATAATAATAATAATATTAATAGTAATAATAACAATAATAATATCAATAGTAATAATAATAATGATAATATCAATGATAATAATAATAACAATAATAATAATGATAATAAGGTTAATAATAATAACAATAGTAATACTACTACTACTAATAATAATAATGATAATGATAACAATAATAATGATAATAGTAATAATAATAATAATATCAATAGTAATAATAATGATAGTAATGATAATAATAACAATAATAATAATAATAATAATAATAATAATAATAATAATAATAATAATAATAATAATAATAATAATAGTAACAATAATAATAATAGTAATAATGATAACAATCATAATAATGATAATAATAATAATAATAATAATAATAATAATAATAATAATAATAATAATAATAATAATAATAATAATAATAATAATAATAATAATAATAATAATAATAATAATAATAATAATAATGATAATAATAATAATAATATAATGATAATGATAATAATAATAATGATAACGATAATAGTAATAAGAATATTAATAATAATAATAATAATAATAATAATAATAATAATGATAACAATAATAATAATAATAGTAATGATAACGATGATGATAATGATAATAATAATGATAATAATTATGATAATACTAATGATAATAATAACAATGACAATAATATGAATAAGAAAGATAATAATAATATGACTAACAAAGCTACTACTACTAGTAGTAGTAGTAGTAGTAGTAGTAGTAGTAATAATAATAATAATAATAATAATGATAGTAATAATGATAATAATAATAATAATGATAATGATAATAATAATAATAATAATAATAATAATAATAATAATAATAATAATAATAATAATGATAATAATAATAACAATAATAATAATAATAATAATAATAATAATAATGATAATAATAATAATAATAACAATATATGGAGATAATTATAAGAAGAATGATAATAATGTTAATAATAATAAAAATATTAACAATAATAGTAATAATTATCATAATAATAATAATAATAATGACGATAGTAATGTTAATAACAATAATAATAATAATAATAATAATGACGATAGTATAATAATAATGATAATAATAATGATAATAATGACAATACCCATTCACATACACACACACACACACATGTATACGCTACGCCTTAACAAACACCTATTAGATATGTAGTTTAGGTTTCAATATATTTTTTTATTTTGATTAATATACTTATAGCGACTGAATTTTTTATTTGTTTGTAGTTTTTAATTATCGATTGTAAATGTTTTCCTTTTTTTTTCTTCTTTAATTGTTTCCCTCACTTTTTTCATTTTATTTGTATAGAGCTCTGTTTCTATCTATCTGTATATCTATCGGTGATCCTAAGTATGCGGACACACTCTCTCTCTCTCTCTCTCTCTCTCTCTCTCTCTCTCTCTCTCTCTCTCTCTCTATATATATATATATATATATATATATATATATATATATATATACACATATACATATATATATATATATATATATATATATATATATATATATATATATATATATATATATATATATATATATATATATGTGTGTGTGTGTGTGTGTGTGTGTGTGTGTGTGTGTGTGTGTGTGTGTGTATGTGTGTGTGTGTGTGTGTGCGTGTGTATGTGTGTGTGCGCGTGTGCGTGCGTGTGTCTGTGTGTGTGTGCGTGTGTGTGTGTGTAACAACGACACATTCACACAAACACGCACACACCATATACACACACAAACATTTACGCTCACAACAATCCTGTCCTTATAATTACATACACAAAAAAAACGATCACTTTCTTAATAAATCATTAAACTTATAGATTATTATAATGAGAAGGAAATACAAATTAATTGACGAAACATAAAAAATGAGAAAGAAGAGATAGAAAGGAAAGAAAGAGGAAAAAGAAAGAAGAGGTGAAGAAAAGGGAGAGGAAGAAAGGAGAGGAAAACGAGGGGAAAATAAAATAAAGACAGAATGGAAAGAGAAAAGAGATAGGGTGAGAAGGAAAGGAGGATGAAAGAAGAGAGGGGGGAAGAGGAGGAAAACGAGAGGAGGAAAAAGAGGGAGAAAGAGAGATAGGAAAAGAGGATGAGGGAAATGGAGAGAAAAGAGAAAAAGGAGAAAGAAGAGATAAGAAAATAAAACAGAGAAAGACAGGGATGGAACGAAGGAGAAGAAGAGAAAGGAAAAGAAGGAAGAACTATAATAGTGGAAAGAAGGAAGGAAAAAAGGAGGAGGGAGAGGAAGGGAAAGTTGGGAAGGAATGAAACGGAGAAGGAGAAAGGAAGGAAGAAAGGAAGGGAAGAATAAAAGGAAGGAGGTAGGTAGGATAGAGGGGAGGAGAGATAGAGAGAGAAAAGGAAAGGGAGGAAAGAGAATGGGAGAGTAGATGATAAGGAAGGAAGGAGGGAAGAAAGGAATGAGAGAAGGAAAGCGGGATGGGAGGAAGGAAGGAAGAAGGGTAGTGTGGGAGGAAAGAGGGGAAGGAAAAAAAACAAAGAAGAGGGTGAAAAGGAAGGGCGATAGGAGAGAGGAAAAAGAAAAGAGGAGAAACGAGGAAGTAAAGAGAAAGGAGAAAATAGGAGGGAAAGGGAGGGAATGAGGAGGAAGGAGAGGAAAGGAAGGAAAATCAGCGGGTAAGGAGGAAAGAGAGAGAATAGGTGGTAAAGGGAGGGAGTGGGGAGGGAACAGAGAGCAGGAGGGAAAGGGAGGAAAAGGGGGGGGGGGAGAAGGCTGGAGTAGGGAGGGAAAGGGAGGCAGAAGGGAGGGAGGAGAGAACAGGAGGAAGGAGGGAACGAGAGGCAAAGGGAAGATGGAGGAGAAAGCTGGAATAGGGAGAAGGCAAGAGATATTTTTTTTCCACATCGGTAAGTAAAAAGCAAAACACCTCACCACTTTTTTTTCCCGTAAACAGCAAGATGGTCCCAGTCCCTCGGTTCTGCTGCCTTCAGGAGAAACAGATTTGCTGGCGAGTACTTGGCGATCCCTCCACTACAAAAATAAAAATCTGGCAACACACGCTTTTCCAAACACAGCTTGGCCTCTGGTATATATTTCTCCCTCAGTCATAAAACGGAGACGCCCCCCCCCCCATCGCATCCCCCTCCCTCAACACACACACGTCCCTACCCCTTCACCTCTCCCTCCCTCCCTCCCTCCCTCCCTCCGTCCGTCCTTCCTCTTCCTGGGCGACTCTCTCGCTCGCTCTCTAGTTCTCTTTCTCTCTTTCGGTTTTTCCTTCTTCCTTTTACTCTCTCTCTCTCTCTCGTGTTCCTTCTTCTTCTTTCTGGTTTCTTCTTCCTTTTTCCCCCTCCTCGCCGTCTCCCACCGCGCGCGAGGTGACGCAGTGCAACAGACGCGGTAAATAAGGAACACGTGGATATCCAACTCGCAACACGCCATCAATTCATCGTGAAAATACAAGTTTAGAAACAAAGACGAAAATAAACAATTTTCCCAAATGTCATTCTGGGCTTCGCTGCCGCCGCCGGCCGCCCGCCCGCCTCGTGGCTCCGCCTCCTCGCCCAGGCTCCGCCCCTTTGCTCCCCCCCTCCTCTTCCTGCGAGGCGAGCGCTGATTGGGCGGCCGCTAAGCGCGGCGATTGGCCCGGGCGGCGAGGCCCCGCCCCCGAGAGAAGGCCGGGCGCCGAGCGGTAACGTCCCTCCCGCCTTATCTACTCTTCATTATTTGATACAGCGCTCCTGGTAACACACGCTCAAAATCAACTTGCGCCCCCGCGTTACGCCGATACAGTAATACCTTCTAAAACTGAGTATCAGGGTGGATTAGGGCCAGACTTTCAGATTTGCGCTGGTCATTTGTCGTCAGTTGAGAGTGTGGGCTTCGCACGCTAACACGCCGGGGCGCCTTCCCCCCTCGCTGCGTCTTCGCCTCCGCCGCCCTGTGCCCTCGCGCTCTCTCGCACGCCCGCACGCCCATCTCGGCTCGGCCTGGACTTCCGCTCACACGCCCGAAGGCCCGCCCGAGGCTTCCGGCCCGGCCCCCCCCCCCTGCACCGGCTATCAAGACGGGCGTGAAAGTGTCTGTGTGACTTCCCTGTCCGAGGCGTGACTCGCCCGCCCGCGACGCCCACGTCCGACGCCCGTCTCCCGACTCTCCCTCTCACCCCCCCCCCCCCCTCCCGCCCACGCCCGTCGCCGCCGCCCGCCGCAGCAGCCCCCAGGATGGATTCCCTCACGGGCGGTCTCAACGACAGCCTCTACGATCTCGTTCCGGGCGGCCACCACGCCACGGCCGCCCACAACGCCCACGCGGACACCACGCACGCCCACAGCCACGCCCGCGACACCGACGGAGGGGCGGCTTCCCTCTCGTCGGCGGCGGGCGGGACCACACACGCCCACAGCCAGCACAACAGCGCCTCCTCCGCCGCCCGCCTCACAGTGCTCTCCGCCTCACGCCCACACGACCCGCCGCCCAGGG